AAAAGAAAAAGTTTGTCTTCAGAATTGTATTCCAAGCGGCAGTTACAGGAATTCAGTTTAGCCGGGACCGGGAAGATGAGAGAGAGAGAGAGAGAATCTGGTCTTGCTGCAGACATAGGGTTTTTGACTTTGCAGAGATGGTGTTAGTGGGTCCACATTCCCGGTGCTGCGCCTCTTGCTGAGAAGTTTGCATTCAGTTTTTCAGTTTTTACTCTGCCAGTTGTTCTGAAGTTCAGCTTAAGGAACTTAAATTTATTTATTGTCGAAAATAGGATTATTATTGTTTTCATATCCTGTTCAGTACGTGCCAGTTAACTTTTCTTTTCAAAAGGAACCCCTCAATTTTCTTGATAAACGCATTTCGTGTAATGATCAACTTCATACCAAACCTCTGCATTGCAGAGTTTAAACATTCAGCGTTCGCCCTCTGCTTCTTTCCCCACGGCTTCTGTATTTTGTAGTGATACCATAAAATGAGTTAGCATCCTCAGAGCCTTCATTAAGAAAAACTTAACTAGCGTTAGAAAAAGTGTTTCTTCTGTGCAGTGCAAGCGAGTAAAAACAATTTAGACAGATTGATGATTTCTATATTTTCAAAGAATTGTTAAGCTTATAATGGGTTGATTATCCAGTGATGATCTTGGGTTTTATAAAAGAAGAAAATTGTAAACTCTATTTGTGTTTTCATCCTATAGTCGAAGCAGAAGTAATTTTTAACCTGAACTCCATTCTTTCTCTCCTCTCATATTCTGTAATTTCTTTTGCATTTTATTGAATACATTAAAGTTAACAGCAGGAACAATCTGGTTAGGTGTAGAAGGGAGAGAGAAATGACATTTTAAGATATTGTAAAAAAAATCATCTTTAACTTAAAAGACTTGTAGTTAAGAAGTGTGAGAGTGTTAGAAGTGCAGCCCTACTGGAGGGAATCTGACTCTTCTTAAAATTTGACAATTGTCTAAAGGGAGAACCCCAATTTTTTGCAAATAAAGAGATTTTACTTACTCACTTGCATGTCATTTATGAATTGTTAGTTTAAAATAGCAATCCCAATGTATTGGATTACACATCAGATCAAGTTGGAGTTGATTCAGGGTGTCTATTCTTACTCAATCTGATGAATTCAAAGGACTATTACTTTTAATCAGTAACTTGCTGGTGTTTTATTAATGGAGCTGAAAAAGGCTCATCCGACATTTAAGAATTTCTTGGTTTCCTTCATTCTCAATTTTCTAATCCAATAGAGGCAATTCCAAAGGAGTAGGGTACCCACACTTGGGATGTCTAGCCTCATGGCATTTTGCTGATGTCCCATTCTCAGTCTCAGCACCCCCACCCAGTCTGTGAGGCTCATGTGCTCTCCCACATTTGGGGTGAAGGGAAAGTAGGTGGGGCAGGCCCAGGTGACTGGTGAGAGATGGGGGTCTCAGGAGTCGGGCACACACCTCTATCAACAGTCAGCTTCTTCTGTCCAGGCTGGAAATGGTTTTAACAGGCGGTAAAATTTCATCTTGCGGTGTCAAATTGGGGTCATTTTGGGGTTAGAGTTCTCAGTGTCCGAGAGGAGCTGTCCAGCTGTGTGGGGACTCATTAACTGCAAAAGATCTGTTTCAGTAAAAACAATTCAAAGACAATCAGAAGGCTAAAGACCCTCTACAAATCGCATTTTACAAGTGCCTCAGAACAACTATCATGGTGAAACCTATTTCTTCAGAATCCCAAATCAGCTACTTAGCTCTGGAGTGGGGGTGGGGGTACTGCATAAAAAAGGAGGTGAAAGGGAGGGGACCAAGTGGGTCAGGATGAATGGGAGGAGGAATTGGGCCTCTCAAATTTGAGAGTCTGTTTTTAATCACCTCTTTCTTATTGAAGCATCCCCAAGACCTCTGAAAACTGCTTCTTTTCTATTCTTCCTTTTCTTTTTTGACCCCATGTGGAAAGCTATTATAGGTAACATTTAAGATTTAAAAGGAATAATTGAATCCCACTATAGTTCCTTAATTTGAAGGTCATTGGCTTTATGGAGAGAATTTTATTTGAAATGAGCATTTATGAACCCAGACTCTATTTTAGGTGAATTTGCCCAGTCTCCTTAAGGTGCTTGTGTGGCTTTTTTTTTTTCCTAGAAGGTTCTAGATCCTTCTCATAGATGACTCCGAATTCTTCAGAACTATTGGGTCCGAAGTGTTAATCTGTGTATTAAAACCGCTGGGGTTTAAATCCTTTTTGTATTCTTACAACAGTTAGAACAATTGATGCCTTGCTAGAGGAGCACATAAGTCCAACCTTAATCTTGTTTGTAACTTTAGCTAATGTTTTAATTCGAAATATTTTGTATTATGTGGATTTAAAAAGTCCTCTTCCAGGTTCATTTTTATTAGAGGAGGTTCTATTTACGGGTTGGAAGAAAGATGGCTTGTTGCTTTGATTTCAAAAATTCTTTCAGGTAAAAGGAAAGTGCAGTTTTAAAATGAGCAGCCATGTGTGAAATGCCAGGAATTGTACGATAAAAATTCTGAGACAAAACCAAATCAATACTTTAAAAAGTATCATTTGAAAACAAGTTTTCTTTCTTGCATTGCTAAACTGAACAATTGAAAGGGGTACAAAGTAGTGGACTCTTTCCCTTTCTCTCTGGACTCTACCTCTGTCCTCAGGTCTTGTTTTTCCACCCCCAGCACGTTTCCCTGGCTTTTGAAGAACACAGTGAATTTTTGTAGGCTAGCTCTTTTCTTCAAGCTTCCCAGAGTATTTCTAAATTGTTATTCAAGGAGTCTGTGGCTTTGCAGAAACAGCCCTGAGCCCAGCATCTCTGGGACAAAGGCGGAGGGGCTGTCTTCTGCTCAGACCTGCGGGCTGACAGTTGGAATTTTTGATATATATTTTATTTGGCGTTTCCAATAATATGTTTGTCTCTCCTTCCCCACCCCTTGCAGCCATCTATTACTTTAAAAACATCTCTTCTCCATAAACCTCCGCTCATCCTTGTGAACTGTTCTTGACCTTCCTAGCAGCTCTGGAAGTTGGGACTAGGAAAAATTCCACTCACTTCTTTACCTGTTAACTTTGTTCCCTCTCTTCCTAGCTGGGATCAACAGAGGGAAGGGCATTTTTGTTGTTGTTATTTGTTTGATTTGTGTTGTGGTTGCTGCTGTTTCATCCTTGTCCCACTTAGGCTTTCCACCACACATTGCCCCCACCCCATACAAGAAAGTGCCCCCACAATTTATTTTAAAAATAAGATGTAGTGGGATCATTTTACTTTCTTTCCTTCTTCCCTCTCCTATCTTATTTCTCCCAATTTTAGCTGCTTCACCGTCTCGCAGAAAGAAAGGATTTCGATAAATAGCCCTCTAGCGCTATCTGGCGGGGCTCCAAACGCGACGTGCGCTCGCTCTCGCTGCCTCTTCCTCCTTCCCGCGCTCTCTTCCTTCCCCTCTTTTCTTCCACGCTCCTCTTTCTCTTGTTGCTTCCGCTATCTCTCCTCTATTTCCCCCTTTTCTGTCCTTCTGCGGTGCGTTTTCTAGTTTCAACCCCACTTCCAGGGCGGACGGCTTGGAACGGTCGGAGGCTGATAGCCCTGGCCACCGGCGGATGCTCGGGCGCCGGAGTTCTTCTCGTCCCCCCGCCCTTCCCCACCTTGGAACACACGCATCCTTTGCCTTTGATTAGCATCTTAATGTGGCTTAACGTGTTGCTGAAGGCTCAGCGTCTCCGCTGGCTGAGGTCTGGAAGGGCTTAAAACTGCATTTGTGAAGTTTGGAGGAAAGAAATCAGACGCTGGAATCCCGGGCTAGTGGAGCCCAGCTAAGTTTTAGGTCAGGGGGCCGAGTCTCAGTGCGGGTTTGAACAGGGGTCAGGGCTTCACAGGGGTGAGAACAGCGCGGCGCCTCGCCTTCCAGAGAGAGCAGGAGTGGGGGGGACCGCGCTCTTCCACCGCCTCCTGCCTGATCGTACCTCACAATGGACTGCTCGAATTTGCGTCCTAGGCCTGTCGGAGTTTTTTGTACCCCCTTCAATTAATCTGCATTATTCCCTGCACCTCTCCTCTCCACTACACCAAATTTGGAGAGGAATGGGGAAGAACTGGAACCCTACAGAGCAAAAGAGAAAGCCAACAGTTAGAGACTGTGGCAGAAGCCCGCGTGGGGTTGTAACACTCCGCAGCATCCCTTACCTCTTCCCTCGCAATTTGTGGGTCATCGGCTTTGTGTGTGTAACAGTAGCCTGTAAATACTCAGAGGTGCTTGGGGGAGATCAGAAGGGAGAGGGGCAAAGGGAGGGGTTCAACTCAGACTAGGTGCTTTAGATTGGCTCCAGCTGTATCCATACTTTCTTAAAATTTTCCTTCTCTCTCTCTCTCTCTCTCACTACATTCCGAGCCTGGGAGAAATTTCCAATATTCCCTTCAAGCAACTCTCTTCCACTAATCCTTGAAACAGAGGAAAGGACATGGGGTCTGAAGGAGAGTAATGATTGTGTTTTCTTAAATTTAGTTTTGACTTTGAAAAGTAAAAGGACAGTTATCTCCGGTACACACCCAGTAAGTGGCTCCTTCAGGTGCGAGGCTATCTGTGATCCACTAGACAAAGATCCCTTCCTAAATCTGAAATCCAACCCGTCATGGCCAGATAGAATACAGAGGGGAGGGGGACACAATCACAGGTTCTGTTCTCCAAGAATTGCCCCCCACCTCCATTGCTGAAGGAAGAAAGCACAGGTCGTATGTAATTAATTGAGGACTGTTATTAGGTCATCATTAGCCAAGGTGCAAATAATTGCAGCCCATTTTTACTTAAAATTGACCAGCCCCAGAGTGATAGATCGATTTGGAGTATAAAAATGATGTATCAAAACATCAATGTCGATTATTTGAAATATTGTAGTCGAATTTTTTTTATTGCTTCATCGGTTAAGTGTCTGAAAGTGCAGTGTTCAAACATATAT